CTAGTATGGCAGTTTAACTAGCGGCAAACTCGCTCTAGTGCGAGGTCTGCCTTGGGGTTGCGCCCAATTGACCACAACTATCGCCCCTGTGGCTACTGGTATACGGACCAGCAAATGCCGCCCGCTCCACTACAATGGAACTATGCGAGGCTCAGTGAAGGTCTCATGGCTTCCTCATTATTGAGTTGTTCTTTGGGGTCCAGATCCGCCGTTTAGGTCCTGGGTCTGGCGATAGAAAGCCTGCGCATTATCGAAATAGTGACTATGAAACCGGCACCAAATTTATGAATCCATTTTATTATAGACATGAACTCTTTGCCTATACGCAATGAGAGTTGTTCACTTGGGCTAAAAGTTGCACATTTTAACACGTGGGCTGGAGATGCCCTTCTGAGAGCATGGGCGGAAAATTGCTCGTCTTTGCATCGCTCAAATTCTTGAATTGATTTTTAACTGGCAGCACATTGGATAAATTTTGTTTTTATAAAGAACTTGAACTCTTTCAAAAATACAATTTTTATTTTTTAGTCATGAAAACATTAAATTGGTTCTACTGACGCGTGGTGTTCTCAACTAAGTCCAAAGACCTCCACATTTTTACTGTCAGATTTGAACGTTAAAATTTGTAACAGAATTTGCAGTAATTATCTCGTGCGATGGCTGACGTTTAGAGCAGGACACTCAAGCTCAAGACAAGCCATGTGATTGAACCATAGCTGGAGAACCATTCTCATCCTAAATCAATATCAATTGTACTCGTATAGTTACACTTTGATCATCAGAAGCTTTGATTCAAAATCTTTCCAATGCCCGACCGCTCCATGTTCGAGTTGCTGGCATCAGCTGTGCGTAGAGATGATGGAGTCAAGGCTCAATGTTTTGTGTCAACTCACATGTGAAGAGAAGGGAAAACTCTTCTGTCTGGTGGCAACGTGATGCTCAACTCAAATATTGAAATGTCAACATTGAAAAAAGCATTACAAATTACTGCACTTGATATGATGCAGCATTAGCTTGTTTAGACGTAGCTTGCTCGAGTACAATAGCGTACTGCAGGTATCGCTAAATATTTTTATTTGGAGCCGATTTCTGTGAAATGTCTTACTCTGGACCAGTGAGTTGTTGGATCGAACCGTGTCAAGCTGTAAACTTCCTGCGGTGCTCACAGCGCGGTCGTGTACATGGCGTTCTTAACGAATACAATTATAGTATAAGGTGGGGGGAGGTGATGGGGAGGATGGGAAGAGAGTTGCTGTGGATGTGGCCTGTGGTCATCCTGGGGGATTTATATCAGATTGTGACGTTGTCTCAGATAGCAAACGCGTGGCCTTTAACGATGCTTATGACGTTCTGTATTGTCTGTATGTGGACCAGCTGATGTCCTTCTTGTTCTTTGTTGTTGAGTAAAATAGAGTGGGGCTAGAGAATTGCCTCGAATTTATGAGTTGATGCGACTCACGCTTCGCCTTTTCTATGTTATATTAATAAGAAATTGAAAATTCTGCGGCATGACTATTGTATAATTTAGATGTAAATTTATTTCTTAAGCTGGAAAGAGATGAACTCTATGATAGTTTTCTTAAATCTTTTAATCGTTCTTTTACCGGGAAACTGTTGATGCGGGTTGTTAACATGTCGCCCTGGACCTCTTCGATGTCAACAATTTCCCACTCTTTTAACATATAGTTTTAGGCATCTGTAATTATGCGTGCTTGCACTGAGGCGCACCCAGTGTTTACTACTTATTGTATCAAAATTATTACATGTTTAATACTAATTGTATCAAAAGTATTACACTTACGATAGCTCAAGAGAAATAAATTCTGAAGGCTTACCTGTGCACACATTTTTTCTCCTTCTGAGACTCCGCTGTCGCCTTCACAGATATCCGACATCACCATATATTGCATCTTTACAAAGAAATTCTTGACAAGTATACAAACACGGCGGAAGTAAGTGAATTCATGACTTTATAACCCCTCAGGGGGGACTTTTGACGCGTGCATGTGCCCGTCAGAAGTCCTATGGGATTTCGTGCTCCTAGGGGGATTGTTCCTGAGCGCCCAATCGCTGAGCTCGCGGTGTCTGACTGCGATGCAGTTGTGGAATCAAATTGTTGTGTAGGCAGGACAGCTATGGGGGGTTGATTTGTGTAGGCAGGATTCCTTACATTTCCCTTCTCTGTCTCTCGTGCGGGCGGCCGACGTGTCGTGTAAGCGACCTCTTGTTCGAGTGTCTTAGTTTCTGTTGCTTACACCTGTCCCTCCCTGATACCTGTCTCTCCTTGTCACCTGTCCACCTGTCCCTCCTTGTCACCTGCCCTTCCTTGTCACCTGCTGTCCCTCCTTGTCACCTGTCCCTCCTTGTCACCTGTCCCTCCCTGTCATCTGTCCCTCCTTGTCACCTGTCCTTCCTTGTTACCTATCCCTCCTTGTCACCTGTCCCTTCTTGTTACCTGTCCTTCCTTGTTACCTGTCCGTCCTTGTTACCTGTTCCTCGTCATTTCGCCCCTTTCAAATGCTAACGCTGTTTCTTACCAGCTTCAGCGGGCTGGACACTTGGAGACCTCCGCCCCTTTTGGGTGATGGACGATTTAAGTAATTTTCAACAATAGAGGCCTTGCTGATATGTTAATTTTTTACCCAAGGTGCGAAATAGCTTGATGGCTGAAGCGCTAGCAAACCATCCTCCTACCACTCCTGCGGTAGTCATCTTGTACTTTTAAGCCGTGGGTAATTCAATGGTCGCAGTCATAACTTGGTTGAGGTAACAGGAGACCAGCCACGGTACCGCATGAAATTTCTACATCAACAAAGCAAAAAATATCATAAATCCTGCATGAAAGGTGGATTCTATTGCAAGTTTTGTAGTCGCGTCACAAAAAATTTGATTTCAAGAGACGCTAGGTTGCTGAACTCGGTACAGTGAACAAGCTACTGTGCAAGTTAGACCTTGTTCCTGCGTTGTTTAGAGCTTGTCTCTGCATATGTTTCATGCTTCTTTTGAAACGTGTTTTCTGCGCACGAACAACACGTTTTGAAACATGTTTCATGAAACTGCGATAAGAGCTATTCTGAGACAATACAGATAACGAAATCGAGATTCGTGTTAAAAGAGAGAGGATGAAAAGAGACATGATAAGACGAGAGCAAATAGATACGAGAGGATGATAAGGCAAGAGATTGCTTAGACAAGATCGCGTCTGTCGCTCCCAGTCACGTGGCGTCCCAAGTCCCAGCGCTGCGCGGTGTAGGTTGCTAAGCAAGTTATGGTCGCGCCAGGCGCTGTACAGTCGCCTCGTCGGAATAATATATGAGTAAAGTGAATGACAACCGAGGCAAAGTGTATGGCAACAGCGCTAAAGTAAATAACAATTTGTTCTCGATTGTTTCTAGCTTTTTTCTCCGTCACGCCCGGCAAATTTTCCTGGAGGATGGCCCCGGATATCAAGGTAAGGGTCGTAGGTTTAGCACTTCAGATTTTCACTTAGAAAACCAATAACGTTAGCCCTGGAAAAGCACATGATAATAACAGTGTTGCAATGGAATAGTACATAGGAATAACATTGCGACCAATCTTTGTAAGCAAACCAGCCGACACGACAGGATGCGCGAGGATGGACAGCCTGGCCGTCGCTCTCACAAAGAAGTTTTTATAGTGTCAATAACATTATTTTTCACTGTATTAAGGACGCCTAATAACAATAATAATAATAATAGCGGTTTCAGCGTTTAGTAGGCCGTAGGCCTGTCGCCGATTCTTAACATCGCAGAATATTCACAGCATTTTGCGGTCTCGAACTCGCAACTCACTGCTACAATTCTGCCGTGCTTAACCGCCCGGCCTCCTCGCCGATTGACCAGAAACTGGCGCGCAGAGCTGGGATCGAACCCGCGCCTCTTTGCTCCAATCTTGGTACTCTCAAATGCAACCACTGGGCCACCATAGAGGCTTTGCCATATGTTTTACTCAGTCGACGTTATTTTAATGAGACTAGTTATGGAAAGATCGGGTTCCAAGGGCCGGATACCTTATGAATCAAGTCACGAAAAATTCAAGAATCGGCAGCAGGCCATGGGCCTATTTCTTCAGTGCCGACACTCCTATTCTATTCCACGTCATCAAAAAATGCCCAGTAAACACAACTCCATGAACGCTGCCAGCGTCACAGAGGCTTAAATGAAACGCGTGGGGGTAATTACATCAGATTAAAACACTTGCCCTAGTTTGCCTGTCCATAACTCAAGGGTTTTGGAAACTAATTATCTTAGTTTACTTACCCTAGTTTACACACCTTAATGTACCTACTCTAGTTTACTTACTCAAGTTTACTTAATCTAGTTTTCAAAAATATAATTACTTACCATAGTTTAAGTAACCTAGTTTACCATAGTTCACTTTAATTTGCGTACTTGCGTTAGTTTGTGTAGCTTTTACTTTGTTAAAAACTACTTGGTGTACGCACCCTAGTCTCTTTACCTTAATCTATTCACCCTAGGTTACGCACCCTAGCCTAAACTTGCCCTAGTTTGCCTGTCCATAACTCAAGGGTTATGGAAACTAATTATCTTAGTTTACTTACCCTAGTTTACTCACCTTAATGTATCTACTATAGTTTACTTACTCAAGTTTACTTGATCTCGTTTTCAAAAATACAATTACTTACCATAGTTAAAGTAACCTAGTTTACCATAGTTCACTTTAATTTGTGTACTTGCGTTAGTTTGTGTAGCTTTTACCTCGGTAAAAACTACTTGGTGTACGCACCCTAGTCTCTTTACCTTAATCTATTCACCCTAGGTTACGCACCCTAGCCTACTTACCCTGGTTTATTCACCTTATTTTGTTACTTTATTCACCTTATTTTGCTTACACCAGTTTGGTGCCGCGCTGTCCACACCCTCGCCCCCGTCAGGTGCAGTTCGTGCCATGTACGGGTGACGTCGTCGTTCTCTCGCTGCCCTGGTCCGACGTGCGGGACATACAGGCCCTCACCCACAAGGTACACGCTGCTGCTGCCGTGCCCCCAGACACCCACGTCCTCGTCGGGAGGCTGGACGACGCTGGAGTCTTCAGGGAACTGGGGGACGACGCCCCTGCCCCTCCTGACGCCTCTCTGCTGGCGTCAGTTGAACTCATTAATGATAAGCATTAATGAGTTGCGTTGTAGCTGGAGTTGTAACACCTACCGACCACCTGTGTTGTAGCAGGAGTTGTAACACCTACCGACCACCTGTGTTGGTGTTACAACACCCACCTGGTAAACGGTTGTGGGAAAGTGGTACAATGGGGTACTAGTGGTACAATTACCCCATGATGTAATTCTTACCCCAGTTTTATGTCATGTTGTCAATTTTAATGAGAATAACTGGAATTTAAGTCTGATAATTCCCCAAAGCGATGGTAGTATTGTGACTCCAAATAAGTCTCATGTATACACGATAACAGAAGGTCGGAAATACTTCCTTATAACGACAGATAAAATAAAATCCTTATAACTGATAAATGTTCATTTACTGAGCCAAACATCTGGGCGCGTTACACTGAATAATTTATCGAAACAGCTCATGCATGGAGATCTCTTTAACGTCACTTGTTATTATGAAATGATTTAATTAGTCATTGACGAAAAATTGATAATTATAAATATTTGTATTCAAACGTGCGTATAATTAATTATATAACTATGGAACAATTTACGTCAGGCTCGAGGCACCAGCGCTGAAGTCAAGCGCTTATTTCTTGGCCGTGGTGAACGTGGGCACCCCCCAACTGGTCCACCCCCCCACCTCCATCCCCCCCGTGCTGCCCTTCTCCCTCCCCCTACTGCGCACCCTCAACTACGATCAGGTACGCCGTCCTTCCTCTGGCTGTCATCCCCTGCAGTAGCTTGTCATCCCCTGCAGGTACTTGTCATCCCCTGCAGTAGCTTGTCATCCCCTGCAGCAACTTGTCATCCCCCGCAGCAACTTGTCATCCCCTGCAGTAGCTTGTCATCCCCTGCAGTAGCTTGTCATCCCCTGCAGTAGCTNGAGTACTGGGTGCTGATAGGGAGTACTGGGTGCTGATAGGGAGTACTGGGTGCTGATAGGGAGTACTGGGTGCTGATAGGGAGTACTGGGTGCTGATAGGGAGTACTGGGTGCTGATAGGGAGTACTGGGTGCTGATAGGGAGTACTGGGTGCTGATAGGGAGTACTGGGTGCTGATAGGGAGTACTGGGTGCTGATAGGGAGTACTGGGTGCTGATAGGGAGTACTGGGTGCTGATAGGGAGTACTGGGTGCTGATAGGGAGTACTGGGTGCTGATAGGGAGTACTGGGTGCTGATAGGGAGTACTGGGTGCTGATAGGGAGTACTGGGTGCTGATAGGGAGTACTGGGTGCTGATAGGGAGTACTGGGTGCTGATAGGGAGTACTGGGTGCTGATAGGGAGTACTGGGTGCTGATAGGGAGTACTGGGTGCTGATAGGGAGTACTGGGTGCTGATAGGGAGTACTGGGTGCTGATAGGGAGTACTGGGTGCTGATAGGGAGTACTGGGTGCTGATAGGGAGTACTGGGTGCTGATAGGGAGAACTGGGTGCTGATAATGACCCTATTTACGTCAGATTTATGACGCGGTGCTGGCCAGGCTTGGGGCGCTGTGCCCCCCGCCCCCTGAGGAGGTGAACGGACGCCCTTGGTGGGTATGGGACGACCCACAGCACCAACAGGAGCGGCAGGCCCGAGGTGAGCTGCGGTGTTCGCAGTTGCACTATATCTCTTAAGATATTTGATTGTTATTTAAATATCACAAAATTTTGCATTTTGGAGGCGTAGGAACCTCGGTGGTATTTATGAGGCGCCGTGGGAAGAAGGAACTTATTTGAATCCAAATTTAATAATGCTTAGAACTCATTTTAATATCGGCGTCAACAATGTTGAGCTCTTCAAAAAGAAGCGATAACGTGGCAAGCAGGACTGCCATCTGCCACTGGCCCGGTGGCAACCAATAGCTGCTCGGGCCAATGGCAAGTAACAGTTGCTCGGGACAGTGGCAACTAAGAGGTGCCCCGGACTGAAGCAGCATTTGTTATCTCGCAGGATAACCTGAAGCAGAGTTTGTTATCTCGCAGGATAACCTGAAGCAGAGTTTGTTATCGCGCAGGATAACATGAAGCAGAGTTTGTTATCTCGCAGGATACCCTGAAGAAGAGTTTGTTATCTGGATAACCTGAAGCAGCATTTGTTATCTCGCAGGATAACCTGAAGCAGAGTTTGTTATCTCGCAGGATAACCTGAAGCACTGATAAGGAGTGTCAGGCGCTGATAAGAAGTGTCAGGTGCTGATAAGGAGTGTTAGGTGCTGATAAGGTGTGCTGGGTGCTGATAAGGAGTGTCAGGCGCTGATAAGGAGTGTCAGGTGCTGATAAGGAGTGTCAGGTGCTGATAAGAGTGTCAGGTGCTGATAAGGAGTGTCAGGTGCTGATAAGGAGTGTTGTGTGCTGATAAGGAGTGTTGGGTGCTGATAAGGAGTGTTGGGTGCTGATAAGGACCCCATTTACGTCAGATTTATGACGCGGTGCTGGCCAGGCTTGGGGCGCTGTGCCCCCCGCCCCCCGAGGGGGAGGACGGACGCCCTTGGTGGGTGTGGGACGACCCACAGCACCAACAGGAGCGGCAGGCCCGAGGTTAGCTGCGGTGGTCGCAGGTGCACTATATCCTCTAAGAAATTTGAATGTTATTTAAATATCACAGCATTCTGAAGGTTGTACAACGGAACCTCGCTGGTCTTTATTAGGCGCCGGCGTCAGGAATGTTCATCTCTTCAGAGAAGGAATTAATGTGGCAAGCGGGATTGTTATCAGCCAGTGGCCCGGTGGCAATCGGGCCAGCTACTCGGGTCAGTGGCCAGCTGCTTGGGCCAGGGGCAACTAGCAGTTGCTTAAGACTGAAGCAGAGTTTGTTATCTCGCAGGATAACCTGAAGCAGAGTTTGTTATCTCGCAGGATAACCTGAAGCAGAGTTTGTTATCTCGCAGGATAACCTGAAGCTGTTATCACTCTCAGAGAACTGGGGCGAGGGGAGCGGCCGTTACCCTCACTTCGAGCCTGGCAAGAACCCAGGCTGGAACTGGACGAGGGGAGACAAGCACTATTTCTTCCGCGTGTGTCGGGTGTGTTACTGGCGTGTGGGTGGTACTTGTGTGTTACTGGCGTGTTGGGTGGTACTTGTGTGTTACTGGCGTGTTGGGTGGTACTTGTGTGTTACTGGCGTGTTGGTGGT